AAAGGCGTGGACGAAAGCGAACGAGGTGAGTGTGAGTAACTGAGAAGAGTATATGTCAAAATAAAAGAAAAACAGAATACAAATAAAGATTAAAATAAGACAAAATATATAATTTCATTTTTCTAAAAGATATAAATTTCCTTTTTTTTTTTTTTTTTTTTTTTTTTTTTTTGGTGGCTGGCTCAGCCAGCCCTGGGGGTAGAGTGGCATGTGGTGCCGGGGATTGAACTGTGGTCCCTTCACTTGCCTAAGCTTACCTAAGCAGGCGCTTTAGACCGCTGAGCTATCTCACCAGCTTTAAGAATTTTTTTTTTTTTAAGCTGGCTCAGGCTGCCTTGAGGGCAGGTCTGGTAAGCCACGTGGAGCTGAAGATCGAAGTGCAGTCCCTTGCGCCTGATTGGGTTTGCCTGAGCAGGGGCTTAAACAACTGAGCTAACCCACAAACTCCTAGAAGATATAAACTACAAAATCACTTCCATGAACGTCTTCACATGTGCAATACTATTCCACTAAAATACATGAAAGGCTTTAGGATACAAAGAGAAATTGCCACTGTGGTGGGATATTTCACCATCTTTCGTGCCTTTGTTGTTGTTGTTGTTGTTCTCTCATTGGGAGCTGAGCTGAGCCCAGGCCTCCACACTGAGCTGCATCCCCAGTCCTGACTTCACATTTTGGGGTAAAGTCTCTCTAAGTTAAGCTCTTGGCTTGCTGTCCTCCAGCCTCAGCCCTCGGCTTCCTGGGGTTACACGCTGGGCTGCTCACACTTCAGTGGAGATATCTGTTATGGTCTGGACTTAAAATATCCCACCAAGGTCATATCTTAAGGTGTAGTCACCAGCCTGTGTCACACTTGGACAGTGCTACAACCCTTGGGGCATGTCCTCAAAGGGGATGATGCAAACTGTGGCCACTGTGATGCAGGCGAGATTAACTCCCAACCTGTCAGATGTCAGATGTCCACAACTGTAGCCCCCTAACATCCAGGAATGAAGTCTCAAACCTAATGGAAGGGGGTTTCACTGGAAATGCAGAGAGAAGAATGGCTGCTGGACTTCCAGGAGAGGTCCTGGGTGGGGTGGTCCCTGCGCCCCTTTGTCAGGGTCATTCATTCAGCAAAGTCCCAGCATGGGCTACAATGTGGGCCAAACCACAACCAACCTGAAGGACTATAAATGTATCTGCTTGGCTAATATTGGTCCAGTCGGAAAGCAAATCTCATGGCAAGGCACATGGCAAGAACGCATACATGTTTGGTAAGGATGGGTTCAGATGCTCCGGCCACCCGCCTGCATGACTGGTGCCTGCCTGGGCTCCCTGGACCAGGGGGTGCTAATTATAATCTCAAGTTACTGCTCATCCCTCAGGGAGGCTCGCAGACCTGGCCACTGCATCTTTGCCTTGAGCCTGGCCTTCTTCGGCTGAGCCTCCAGCCCCAATTCTGATGTCTTATGCGTTTTTCTGCGACTTCCTTAGAGCCAATTTCCCTTCTGACTGTATATTGATTTCTACGTCACTTAGTTGCTATAATTGGAGTATGTCTTCAAAGGGAACAGTACAACCCAACCTCTACCTCTCTCTCTCTCTCTCTCTCTCTCTCTCTCTCTCTCTGCTTCCTGACTTCAATGAAAAGCATGATTATGATTTATGTCTAGATCCCCCCCAAAAAAACCTCATGCAGCCATGGGGAGCAGGCTGTTTTTCCAAGTGGCTCAATCTAGAGTGTGGGATTGATTCATAGTGCGATGCTGGGAATGAGGATGCTGGGATTAAGGCTGCGTGATTGCTGGGTCAGTCCACAGATTGGATTGGCACCACTTCAGTTCTGGTAGGCTGAGTCCAACATAAGGGACAGAAAGAGCTTGTCGCGCTCTCCTCTTGCTGCTTTCGGTGCCTTCTGCTCCAGGAACTGTTGCTCCCAGGCCATGGCCACCCTTCCTTGGAGCCAGCTGACTACAGACTGAAACTTCTACAAACTGAGCCATAGAAACCTTTTCTCTTGGCTTTGGGCATCAGGTATTTGTCGCAGCAATAAGGACAGCAACCGAGGCAGCAGCTGTGTTCTCCCACGTTCTTCTGCCGTGATCCGCTGCCTCGAGCCAGAGTGATGACTGAGTGACCACCCACAGAAACCGCGATACATTTTTTTCTCTTTGTATGTCGTTTACTTTAGGTGCTTTCACAGAGGTGAAAATCTAACTAAGCTAGCCGTGTATAAAAAGTCAACAGGAACACACAGGCCTTGAAGAATCTAGCGAGCCCTGCTGATTTACCAGATGCAGTGGGTGGAGTCTTGCGCCACCACTCCTGGCACAAAGATTTGTTGAGGGACGTCAGTTATCACCTGAATCCTTTGTTTTTATCAATAAGAATTTTGTCTGGGGACCGAACACAAGCTGGCAAGCAGGTGGAAGTGGGGACACCCCCGTTGGTGTTTTTCTTGGGCTCCTTCGTCTGGGTTTGAGCCCCTAGTTTAAGCGAGGGAAGCCAAAGTTAAGGGGAAAGAAGGCTTCCTTGAGTAATCTGGTAAATTTCTGGCCATGGAAGGTAGTCACCTAACTGTTAACCAAAAAGGATTAGAGATCTGCTTGGAGAATGAAGGGTTCTCTACTCTGTCCAGTGACAAACTGCGGCTTAAACCCTGTTTGTGCAGTCCTGGGGCCTTCTGCTACTGCAGGGAGATGCTTTGTGGCAGATGCATCGCCCCTGGCAAGGGCGGGTGGACCGGCTGATCACGCCTTCACGAGTCCTAACAAGGGCAGGCACATTACTTCCGGGTCGCAGCCTCCTCACCTGCGAACCACCAGCGCGTCACAGTTTATGTAAAACCTGACTCCACTCTTTTCCGCTTTTAAGCAGTACTTATGAACATTAGGGAAAGCAGAACGTAGTCTGAGATATTCATGCCAATTACCAAAGATTAATTTTTAAAATACACCATAGGTAGATCGTATCTGTATTTTCAAAGTCCAGCCCCTTGAAACCTAAAAATGAAATCATTCTGCCAAAGAAACGACAGCTCACAGAGAACAGGAACTGCAGTCGCCTCTGCCAGAAAGCTGAGGAAGCTGCCTGGCAGGGCGAGACCTCCACCCCAGCCTGTATTACCAAGCGCGAAGGAATGAACGTAAAGCAGATGAGTGGTCCACAGCAGAAGCCTGCAAAACAGAAGTGGGGTGTGAGGAGTGCGTCTTAAAAGACGCCCACACATCAGGAGGAAAACAAAAGCAAATGAGCCAGCAGGCCAAAACTTGTGACCTAGGCAGGGGCGCAACTCAGTGGAGATCGCTTGCCTCACCAACATACTTGAGGCTCCAGCGTCGAAAATCAAGGATTCTGTCTTCATAAAGCTAAAGCCGGCTTTAAGCAGACTGAGGACACTGTTCCAGGCCACAGAGTGACCTCCAGCTCCCCTCCTGCTGTCGACATAAGGGGGCCTCTCAGAGCTCCACCTGCCTCCATCTAATGAGCGCACAGAGTTTGTGTGAGGTCAGCGGGAGCCCAAAGGTCATGTTCCTGAGCCAGGACCCTGGGCTCGGGCTTCCTGGTAAGCCGTGTCGGAAAGCAGCGTCTGGTATCACTTTGTCCGGTTCTAAATCCGCCCTCCACCTCCCCCCTAATGGAACTGTTGAGTAATTTTGGAGAACTTGGGCTGGGTCATTTGTTCTTGCCAGTCTCGGCTTCCTGGATCAGGCTCCTTCAGCACAGGGGAGCAGAGTTACCCCACACCGTGCCACTCCATACCCCTCAAACCCTGAGCACCCCAAGCTGGCCCAAGACAGAGAGAGATGTGGGAGAAACTCCAACCAACACTGAGGCCTTTAAAAACAAACTCCCTTGGGGGGAGCCCCACCCAGTCTTCAGATTCATGAGCAAAATAAATGTGGGGTGTTCCTAAGCCACTAAGTGTTGGGGTGACTCGCTGCATGCCACCACTAGGAAAGGGCACTCAGGACGCAAGCGCACAGTTCGAGGCCGCGAGGATGGCAGTGCCTGAAACTGGTGTGAGTGTTCTTTAATTTTAAAAGATCCTTAAGATAATAATAAGAGCCTCCCAACCCCCAACTGTGGTTAGGCAAGTGACACAATGTATGTAAAGTGGTCTGTGGCGCATAGTAAGTGCGCAGGAAGCACCCCCTCTAACCTTCCTCCACACCAGCCTTCTTTCCACCCGCTCCCCACCAGCTCCCCTAACCCTACAGCAAGTATTCAGCCAGTAGTACAGTAGGTGACTACCTGCCCTGTCCTTGCAGCCTCTTGAAGGACCTCAGAGGCTATCTGTCTGTGAGGACTCACCCGGAACTAATGTCCTTTGCTTTTTCCTTCCTTCCTGCATCTCCCCTTTGTATTAAAAGTGGTTTAGATGTATTTTCAAACTCTTTCTTGAGCTCGGCCTCGGTTCCCCTCCGAGTCCCCACCCCACAGCCAGCCCACCGGAGGGTCTGCTCCCGCCCTCAGCCCAACTGCCCACCAGAGCAGCAGCTCGGGGGCAACCCCCGCCAGCCAACCTCCCCTAGCCCAGCCTTGCCCGCACCCCCAGCCATGAATCTCTTCCGATTCCTGGGAGACCTCTCCCACCTCCTAGCCATCATCTCGCTACTGCTCAAAATCTGGAAGTCCGGCTCTTCGTGT